TTGTGGTTTGCAATTTCTCATGTGATTTAAGGTTTTAAAATGTCTGCCCTATTCTCGTGTTATCATGCAGTGCATAGCCAGTGCAAAGTTTTATGCTTGGCACATAGAGCAATTCATCTCAAAATTACATGTTATTTGCTTAATTTGGTATTTCTATTTACACTAACTCTAAATACCCACTTGGATCTTATGATCAGCTTCCAATTTATTTCTACTGTTGCATCCGGACAGTTGCTATTTACGTCTTTCTGGATTTTCCAGTGTGTTCATTCTGGTAAAGTATCCRTCTCATCACAGCTGCACTGTGGATTCACATTTCCAGAATAATACAAGTGTTTAAAATATTCTAAACCATAAGTTTTTGTGTGTGAGAGACTTGTACATTGCAGATCTTAGGTTCTAAGCTCTTAGATCTCTCTGTGAATCCACAGCCTCGAGCAGCTCTAGGCACAACCTGACAAGRCACTTCCTCATCATCAAATAGTCTGTGTGTTTATATTTTTGTGGGCAAGGTGGGGACAAACCAGTCCCAAACCTGCTGCCTGCTTGGCTGCCTATACCAAAACCCTGAAGAGAAAAATATTTTGCTTTTGCTGTTGGGGCAACTTCCATGCAGGATGGCAGCAGCTGCTCAGGAGCAGGGTGGGAGGCACCACTTCCTGGCAGCAGTAAAGTAYGTGCTGATCTGATGCTTCTCCGTGTCATTTTACATTCTGAATTCTTTTACGTCAGGACAGCTCGAGTCCATCCCTTGAATTTTGGACAACAAAATTCAGTTTTGCCTATATTGTCATGATGGCAACTCTGCCCTTGAGACAAGTATATAGACCATTCTGCAAAGCAAAAATGAGCTCTGAAGAAGAGGATCCACAAAAAAAAATGTCCAAAACCCCACAAAGAAAGAAAAAAGTAAATTAACCTCTTCAGTTTACATGAGCTCTCTTATTTTTGAGTTAGCAAATAAAAAGGAAGTTTCCATGTGTTCTCTAACAGTTTGGCCAAGRTTGAAAGAACAGAAGAACAAAGGCATGATATTATGGCACAGAGCAAAGGAGGCTTTAAAATAATTTGGGAACAAATGTTAAAATGTTTAGGCTGGTCTCTGAAAAAAACCACATAAACCTTTTAAAATAACAAACACTATAGCAAAGTCTTTCTGAACAGGATTCAGAGGCATGATTCTTGCTAAAACTACTGGGAGCTGTGCATCTACCTTTGTAACAGCTTTGAAACCTCAGTCTATAATATTCCTCGTATGTCTTTTCCCTCATCAGGTACATAGAAAAGAAAACATTTTCTGTGACTGAAAACACAAGTAAGTTGTCTGCCCAGAGCTACTGAAAACCATGCCAAGTTGTCTTAAGTGCTAGATAGGCTCTACAACATATACTAATTCATTTAAGAACAACTTGGATGTGTTTAAAGCCTTGTAAAGGAAATTATGGGGGCACAAGCRTTAGGCTTTTATATGTTCAGCCAAAAATGTACGAGATTCCTAGTGCATTGTAAAATGAAGGAGCAAGGAAGGCCAAAGTCTTTAACCATCTGAAACAATCTAATCATCCTCTGGAAATGCACTTTTGGAGGTGACTATGTTAACTGTAAATGGAGAGATAAAAAAAAGTCAGGCTGATGAATCCCCTGAGTACCACTAACTTATTTGTAATAACATTGGAGATGAGCAGTATGACTGGTGTCTCAAGTCTAAGAGCTATGACATTCAGAAAGAAGATAATTGAAGCCTGCCATTCCAAAGCCCTCAGTACATGTTCAGATATTATCAATGTAAATTTTACAGCCAAGGATTTGCATCAAGATAAAAAATAATTCCTCCTTTGGCTGCCTTGGGATCCATCCATGAGAGAGCACAGGAAGAAATAATAATTGATTTGTGATAATGTATCAACCATGTCTTTAACATAAACAGAAACTGCTCTATCCCACACTCAACTTTACAGCAGAAATGCCTAGTGAAGACCACAGAGTTGTTATCTCAAAAAATCGCGTGGGATTTTCAACAGAAAAACTCCTGATGGAAAGCAGTCCAGTTATGGACAGACTACTATTTAAGTATCACAACTTATTCTGCCTCTGTGAGAACTCAAAGAAAGGGTGGTTTCTGATGATGCCAAATACCTCAATGATTTAGTATTKAGAGTTTAAAGTATGCATGCATTGTCCCCAGAAGCTGACTGGAAGACTGCAGACTAGAAGTAATGACATCATGAACTTATATGGTTTAAGATGACATAAGAAAGASACCCAGGTAGAAAGCATAAAAATCATTCTAGTTTGAGGTGACAAAGCCATATGAATACATTGCCTTTGAAAGCAAAGACTTCTGACACAGATTTTTTAGTACATACTTTGTCTCTTCTTTGACTCTTGCAGAACAGCTGACCAAAGTTAAGCATCTAAACAAAGAAAAGCTGCAGCTGTTCAAGGACCTCTATCACCTCCACTTTTTGGGGGGTTATTTTTTCTAAATATCAATTACAGAGTCCATTGCAAGCATTCTCCCTTTTTAAATTCATCATATTCTTTGAGCTATTCTACAATTGTTGGTAATTTAAACAGCCAAAGAGTTAACTGAAGGACAGATAATTCAGCTCATCACCATTTCTGCCAACCACCCTTCTCCAAATACAGGTGAACACAGGCCTTTGAAGGGGGTAGTCATGGAGTTGTGAAAACATGACTCAAACCCGGGTGATTCTCTAGGACACAAAACCCTTAAGCCACTCAAAACCACTGCATATATTTCTGGAAGACTTCACAACGGGAATAAACATAATTCAGAGTCAACCAAGAGGCAAAAATTATGAAGCATGATCGCTTGATTTTAATTCATCTATTTAGTTAGTCAATGCAGTTCCTGCAATACACCTATTTTCCATCCTAAAATACCTGCCTGTCAAATTATATTTTAAATTAACAGAGTTAAAAATGCTACAGTGGTGATATGGCTAATACTGGAGAAATTATTATTYTACTCTTCAAAAAAACCTCTCTGTTTAACTTTTCTGGTAGGCATCCCCACAAGTTTTTCTCGCTCCCTTACTCTGGAGAAAAAAGACCTGCTTCTTTAGTGCCTGCAAAGGTCCCTATAGCCTCACTGACCAACTCTGATATCAATGACAAACTTTGATAAAGATCTTGAACATTAGACCACTGACAGTTTAATTTTTAGAATTATTATTAGTAATTATTGTTCATTTATATATATATTGAACTGTTGGTGTATAGTATAAATAGTTTATGTGTATCTGAAATTATCTTGATTCAAAATATTGTTTATTGCTTTGTATTTCAAGCATAGCATTAAATCAGTGCATTCATTGTGCTCCTGCACAGGAAGTTTAGAAAATAATTTGTTTTCTGYACTGCTTATCTCCAAAATAGATAACTTGGATATAAATCTGTTTTCTAATGTGAAACTCAAGGYAGCCAACAGTCATCATGACTGCTCATCAGTATCTACAAAGTAACCCTACTGGGAGACAATTCACAATCTTCATTTTGTTTAATCCCCTGGTTTCTCTTTGGACAATAGCAAATAAAGGCTCCAACTACAGAGGTGTTTGTTGCACAGACAACTTGCTCCCAAAGGTCTTGATTCTAAAAAGCACGAGGAGTTTTGCAGTTGCAGAGCCACTGCAATGCTTAAGCACTGATTAAACTTCAAGCAAGCAAGCAAGCCTGCTGATTTCAATGGGACCATTGGCATAACTATGCCTTGAACCAGCATACAGCCAATGTTCCTGATTCAGGAGAGTGCCAATGCACACACTTGGTATTACTTTAATCAAGTAAGCCCCCTTAGCCTGAGGTTAAGCAAAAGACTCTCACAGTGTTGAATATCCATGAGAGAATACGGGTATTTTACTACAAAGATGACATAAAAGTATAATACAGAGACAAAAGGCATCACACAGAGTCTCCAACTCAGCAATCTATCCTAATTTTCATATATTCCAAATGTTAATGAGATATATTAATGAATGGTTGCAACTCAACATAGTTAAAGGTAGATTTGAATTACCTGAGGCTGTTATCTCCTTGCTTACATTCACAAATGCTGCTGTTGCTACTGTTCCTTGGGACCTCATAACTCTCCTAGTCCACTGATCTTCTTTGCAAACTAGGGCTCTTGTAACTTAATTGCCAAAGACCCAGCATCTGATCTCAATTTGAGGACAAGATGAACTACASGTGCATAACAAAAACTTTTGGAGCAACATGAGAATTTTGTCAGAAGCTGCTTTAAGGGATGGCTCTCACAGCAAGCTTGGAAGCACCTCCAGAGATCATTTGATTGTCCTAAGGCATGATTAGCTTTAATCACATCATTCTTGACTAGTGCATGTTCAACCTGTTCTAAGAGACCTTGAATGATAAGCATTGCTCCTTATATGCTCTAGGTAATCCTACACTGTGCTTCACTATCCTTCGTCTTTGAACACCTTAGATGGAGTCTCAGGTAACTCTCTTGCTTTAATATATGCTATTATAATTGAAATTAAATCATATTCAATAAAAGCCTTCAGCTGTTATGGAGAGGAATTTATTCCTTACTTCTTTATGTTATTCACTTCTCCTGACTTAATAGACCTAATTCCACTTTCTTCCTATACTGCATTTCCTAGGTCTCTATTTACTGTGTAGGGACCCTGAGAACCCCATATTTCGGCCATTTATTTGGATTCTGCTGGCAAACCCAGGAATTTTTAAGAATATGATTGCAAAGCATTTTGAAAAAAAAAAAATTTGAGGGACTCCATGCAAACTACAATTGTATTTAACTACAGTACAACTATCACTCCATATGAATCCATGACTTAGACTACCTTTTGTAGATGAGCAGCCCTAATGAATTTTGTGCAGTCTCAGAAAGATTTGTCATTTGTTCCACTGTCCTCAGCAACTTAGAGGGAAAAAAAAAACAGAAGCAGAAAGATTTGGCTAAATAAGAATGATATATCAAAACACCCAATATTTTAATGAAAGAAACTGAATATCCACACATTTTGCACTTCTGTACAGTTTTTGTGATATATATATAATTTTAAGCTGTTTACAAATAACATTTAATGCTTCAAATATTACATAATGTTGATATTATATTTCTAGCAGAAATAAATATATTGCACTTAAAAAGAAACTTTTCATTAGATGTTGTTTCATAGTTTATGTTCACAACTTTTTTTTCCATAAAAAGATTTCCCTCTACCCCCTCCCCTTACACACAAACACACACTTCAGTACATGGTGAATGTGCTCACGCAATGCATTATAAACAACAAAGTCAACACAGCAAACAGAAGAACTGTGGTACATTCTGTTAAAGAGGTTACATCCAGTTTTTTACCTTCTTTATGTTTAAACCAAATTTTTTCTCATGTTTTTGAAGGTACAATTTAAAAAATTGTTTAAATGTGCTAAAGGTAAAATACAGCAAACTGTATTTTTTGTCCTTAAACTATCATAAAAAGTTCCTTCAGAGCTTATTTAATTCATTGCTTAATTTTCTTTTAAAAAGATAAAATAAAGAAAAAGAAGTTGTCATTTGATAATCTAGAGATTATATGCAAGGACATTTGATTATGGAGTAAGACAGAAATCCTGTGGCCAGCAAGTAGGTGGTTAATAAACAAACCACATCTCCTGCAGCAGAAAATGCTCTGTAAAGAATAGTAAGCATAAAATCTCACTAAAATGAAAATTAATCTTTGAGTGAGTAAATGTCAACCCCCTGCAGATGATGAGTATAAGCACTATAGCCACAACTTTCTCAAAGCAAGAAGCTGTAAGTATTACACTGATCTACTGCTACTTTTACCCTTATCTGGGAGTAAATTATCACAATTCATATAAAGTTTTGGAAATCTTATTTTGCAATAATTTTCATTGATATTTCTGTTTCTGTATAGTACACTCATATAAAGAGGATGTATTGCATAATCAAGTTGCCGTTCCAAATGCTTTTCAATCAAAAATGTTCATTTGTTTGCTGAATGTTGGAATTCTGGATACAGAAATTCTATCTACTTGGTCTATGCTTGTTTTTCAGTTTATAGCCAGAAGAGTATGACTGAAACCCGGTGGCATTGATTTGCTATCTTTGACAGTGCCTCATTGCTACAAAACAAAGATGAAAATTCAAAATGGGGAGCTTCTTGTTTAGATTCGCAGGGCTCCAAAAGCAGCAGGAAAAAAAATTCAGACAAACACATCCAAATCAGTTTTGTTAATATATGGGATGCTTTTGTTGGATTAAAGACTGGATGGTGTTAACCATCTATAGATAAAATGGTAATTCAGAAAAAACACAAGAATACTTGTAACACTCCCGAGGAAAACCTTATCATTCTCTTTGAAAAGCATATTCAGGCATATTCTCTCCACTCTTCCCAAAAAAAGGCAGACAAACCCCCTCCAAAAAAACCCCAACCAAAATCAAAGAACATAAACCAGCTCAATTCTTCTGAGCCAAGAAAGCTCAAAAAGGTGAAGAGCACTTCTCATGGGATATAAAATGTGAATTGTATTTGGAAAATAAACTCTAGATTATATTTGGCRTTCCTAGTCCATCTACCAACAACAGATGTTCTGTTCTGAAAGCGATATAATTCTGACAGCAGTACAGCAAGTCCTTAAATAAGTTATTGGGTTATTGTCAAAGCGGTAGAGATAATTTAATTTTTTTTTATTTTTTTTTTAGCAAAAGAAATTTCACTCTTAAACCAATTAATTACAAATTTGCATTAATTTTCTGCCAATTGTGAGTTCAGTGCTAAAACTGATTTGTACTTGGGTTTAAATYTTTTCTGTATTGTTCTTATATTGTTGCCATCATTTAAGTCAGTGTTCTTACTGTCAGACTTTATTTTTAGATGCCAACGTGGAATGAAATCCTGCCCCCGTAACAGTCAATAAATTTCCCTTTGACTTCAGTTGCGCAGGAATTTTATTTCTGGAATCGCTCCCATGCTGCCCCAGGCCCACAGGAAGGTGAGAGGGGTGGGGAGCAGAAATATTGCAAGGTGGCAAGACCTCTTCACTGCATGTCCTGTGGCACCTGTGAACTTAATCCCTTAAACCTCAAATCTCTGAAACAGGTTTTGTAGGTAGGATTGTGAGGGCAAGGAAAAGGAAGTGAGGAATGGACATACCCGTTGATCTTATTCCCAGGGAAGGTGGTCACAAGCTGCCTTCATTCCCCCTTTTGGGACCTGCCTGTCATTCCACATTAGTGGAGAACCCAGTGGGTTTCTGCTGCCAAGGAATTAAACCTCAGAGAGCAGCACAAGGAGGGATGAGCACACTCAGAGAGACAGTCTGACTTGAAAAAATCAAGCTGTGGATTTTGGCAGATAATTCTGCATCATCTATAATATAAAGTTCATCAGAGAGAATTTCAATGAGGAGTTGGCTGTATCATGTTTTTATATAGAGATAGCCTACTGCCATGTTTTTTTCAGGTATGAATCACAACTTCATTTGTAGTGAAAAGCACTCGTCCTTTGTTTAGTATTTTTGTGAATGAAGTTGTCAAAATCCAGTTTAATTCTCCAGAAAGAGCCTGGAGAATTTTCTCTGAAACAGTATCAAGGGCATTTCTGCATGCCAGGTATTGGTATTCTCAGAGCAAGGACTGTGACRTGGCTGAAAAGATTGTACACCTTATTTTTCTGAATTTGCTTCATGAAGGAAGGTCATGTATGAGCAGCCTTCATGTCACGTCTTGACCATGCCTAAATCAGCCCACCTGTTTCACACTTGTGTCTGGAGTCATGTAAAATCTGCCTACTCGCCTGATCCTTTCCTGATGGAAAGTATCAGCAGTAAAGCTACTGGCTTGAATTCTGACCCCAGCCATATCCACTGCAACTCCAGGTAAGTTAATGGACCTGCAGAAGGAACCAGATAAACAGAACTTCCCTGCAGTGCATGGTGCATGTCTTCCTAAGGTCTTCATACAACTCTAACAGAAGCAACTGAAGAGAAAACTTTCTTCCAAAACTSWTCTGTAATTATTCTTTCTGTAGAGTCATATGTACTCAAACAATTACATTCTTGTGGAGTCAGTATCACCTAATTTCCTGAAAAATAGGGAGTTCATAGCAAAACCAGTTATAAGTAGACACAACCTCRCAACATGCAGTTTTCCAGTGAATCTGATAGCCTGGAGCAAAATCTAATATTTGGGTACGCCAAATATTAGCCGTGTAAATACTGCAGAGCTTGGCCTGTTATATTAATTTATGGAACTCCTTGTAGCAGGTCTGAACCCAGAAATTGTAAGTTAATGTTACTTTTTGTTTACATACGGAACACAGGATTTGCAAATTGGCCCAGGTCATTTTTTGTTAGCAGATACTACAGTGATTAAAGGGGAATTGGGGTGATAATGCAGATAACTGGGTTAAAAAGGTGATTGAAATGGCCAATTCAAGAAGGTTTTTAATTCAACTGCTGGAAAATAGTTAAAGATGGTCTTTGTCTGTGGGATGCAAGCACTGTCCTACAGCAGAAACTGGGAAAAGCCTGGAAGGTTGTTGTTGCTCTGTGTGATGGGGCGTGTGAAACAAGGCATGRGACAGATACGGGCATGTGACTTGCCTGGGAGTAGGTACTCAGTGTACTGCACTCTACTTTTTACCAATGACACCAATACAGAATGGTCAAAAGTAGAGGAGAAGATTGGGAAATAAGTTTGTTTCCTGTTTTGTGTTCCACCTCTGCAGAGATCTGTAATATATGCTAGCTCGTTTTGTCAGCAGATGTGTTATCATCTGTAGCTTGGATGCAACTTGACACAGAAACTCTGTTTCTACTTATTATTTACAGTGAGATCCCACCTCTTGCCACACAGAAACCAATGTCACACTGGTGCTCTTTCCAGCAGTGCAAAGGATCTGTGCTAGCCCTCTGCAGGTCATTATTTTATACCTCTGTTGTATCAGACACAACATACTACAAAAAGTGGACAGTACTTTGAATGAGAACCCCAAATACTAGCAGAAAAGAAGTCAGACATGAATTTAAAAAAAAAAATGTGTGAAGGTCTGTACTGACATTTTTCTAAGGAAACTCCACCATTCTAGTGGGACATGGAAAAACTGTTGGTACAACCCTCTTTTCCTGCCCAAGGAGCTCGTATAATAACAGCCATGACCAAACCCAGGAAAATCATAACAATTAGAAAGATACTCCAATGCCTCTCATACCAATCCATTAATTATAGTTTGATCCAGAGAGTCTATAGATTGATCTAGCCTGAAATTTGGTTAACTTGCTACACWTGTGCAGCTAGAAACAGGTCTTCAGTGGCAAGCACGGCAGCAAACAAGCACTGTTTTAAAATTTGATATCTTGCGTCTCAGCGTTTAAGTAACAGATATTTCTAAATCAAAATTTTTCTTCATTAGACCTTAACTGACAGTTAAATTGCTCCTCCTAGTATATAGGACAAACTTTTTAGGCTGAAGGACAGAATACGTTACCGTTACACATTACTACTACAGTCCTGTAACACAGTTCTCTTTTTTGAACCCATAAGTATTTTGTGAAAGAAACAAAGAAAGAAAGACTTGTTAATAATGGTCTCTTTGTGATTATAGTAGCAACTAAGRAATACTGGTTTTGGTGAATATAAGCCAGTCTTAAAAAGGACAGTGGTCATCTCCACTTTGTCCCGTTTTCAGCAAATGTATGCTGAGATAGCCTAAAACATGCTCAAAGTTATAGCAATACATTTTTCTGTTTAGATGCTCATCAGTCACAAGAAGAGATGAAGATGGGTAAGAGTATTGCCTTTTTCAGAATTCATCTAGCATATGAAAAAAAGACCTATAGACAATTAATTTGTACACTGCTGCTTAAAGATAATCTCTTTCCACCAGGCACCTTTGGAACAAGCTGCACGTGGCCAAAGATCCTGGGGACTTTGGGATCCGTTTTGGCTGTGTTACACATAGATCTGTGAGCAGCTCTAAGCTGCATGCCCTCTTCTTGTGATCCCTCAAAAGAGGAATCTATATCCACAACGCATTTTCTTGGCTGGTTTCTTACGAGTTCAGCACTCCAGCCACAGGCCTTTCAGGAAGGTCCCTGGTGTTTTTCATAGCAAACTCGCAGATTTAAAATGTTGTGTTCCTCTTGTCTTACGTCACTCATACAAACGGTGTCATCACTGCGGAAGAGTGACGCAGTCCTTGGATAGCTGCATAAGGACCCTGCTGGAAATAATGGTGGTACCTTGGCATGTGGAAGGATGGGAAAGTGGGGCCGCTACCCTGCATGGAGCTGGCTATGGCAGAGGGTGTAAGAGGCATTCCCAGGCGGCTGTACGGAGGCAGAGATCCTTGGATCGGATGAGGAATGGGTGTCGCTATGGATGCAGTGCTGGTACCCAGGGCACTCAAAGACTGYGGATGCTGAAACCCTGGGAAACTGGTTGAAGAGGAAACCCAGGAACTGAGGGACAGGTTATCAGATGTTGTAAAGGCTGACCCTGCAAGGAAAGAGAAAGAATACCTCCCATTGACACTGCGACACACAAAGCTGGTAAAGTAGCAAAAAGGGAGAAAATTAGTCTTTCACAGCAAGCCTGATTTCAATGACAAATTGCCCTTGGAAATACTTCCCAAGTATTTCTGTCTTTAAAACGTTATTTGCTGGTTGCTCTCCTTTATCACTAAGTCTTAGAAAAATTTCCATTTTAAGAAGCTGTTTGGGGTGGCTTAAWCAGTAAAATCAGATGCGCACATTGAACATTTTAGGTATTAAACTCTGAAGCACCTTGTAATGCTGCCACTAAACACTGAAATATCTACTCTGACAAGGAATCTCACTGCATTACGTCACTATTTTGAAGACATACTTGCAGTTCTTTGCATCAGATCCTCAGTTTTTGGGTTTTTTTTCCTCAAAATTTGGTATGGCAAAAAAAGCAGAAGAATGTAATTTGTACTACAAGTTTTTCCTTTTTTTTTTTTTTTTTTACCCGCATATTCTCTCTTTTTTTTTTTTTTATTCATATTTTTTTTTTTTTTTTTTACCCCAGTAAAACTACATCTTTCCAGTTAACCTGACTCTTTCTGTAATATAGAACAAAAAAATTCTAAAAGCATAAATGTCAAAGCATTTTTTGTTTTTCCAACCATGTATGATACACTAACTAGTAAACAACACCAGTTCTAATGCAGAACTAGCTCTGAAGGCAAATATCTACTTTTGATCAAATGGAAGTGTTTTCTTTGTCATTTTGTTTTGAATTTGTTTAATCTGAAAAGTTCCAAAAATTATTTCCACAAATCTTCCAACTCTTTAGAATACTTTTTTTCCTGAAGATTGAAGAATCATAAAAAAAAAAGAAAAATGGTTTCTTAAAATTAGAACTAATTACTTATTTCATGTTGACAGTAAAATTTTGGGGAAACAATAATTTGTTTGGATAATTACACATGGCATTTTCAAATAATCTGATAACTGTGTTGCCCTACATCTCTGTAGTTCCTTTATGCATCTRGTCATCATCATATGTCTGATTTCTAGAAATGGGGAATACAATAAAAGACTATAAATAAACTCTTTTTATTCCTCTTCAAACAATAATTTAGCTGTTGTCTCAYGTATTTTCTTGACCAACTTTCTTACTTTAGAAAATTGTTGGCAGGAGTATTTGATGAAATACATTTCAATTCAGTATTGCAAAACATTCTGAGACAACAAATTTTATAACATATAATAGTTTCATAAATCTGATTCAACAAGGGAAGTTCATCCAAACTGTAGAATGAAAACACATGAAGACTTCTATCTGTCAAGGTAAACTTACTGGAATTAAGTACAGCAACCAATCAAAGCCACATGCTCAAACCAAARCTATAAGCAAAAAACCCAACAGAAATAAAAAGTACAAATCGTTATTTTTTTTTAAATCATAAATCTCTTATTGTATATATTCTCAAATCATGATTAATTTTTTTCTCTACTTAATGAAACAAATAAAACAATTCAGTAACAAGACAAAGAAACTCTCAATTTAGCAGTGGGAACAAACTTGAATCACATCCTGGCCCTACCACTGAACCAAATCCTAACTGCTGGGAAGTGAGATCCAAACTCTAAGGATAACACAACAGTCACAGACCACAGCAAAACCCTTGACAAATCAGAGGGTATCTGATCATTACTTCACTACAGGGAAAGCAGGATGCAAATTTGGATTTGCACAGAAGATTTGCACTTGGCTCTGTTCCACGTGGCTACTATGAATTCTGTGTGTGGATGCAGGCATGGGGAAATTATTCATTAAAGAGTTTTCATTGAATTTATATMTTTCCTATTTGTTAATTCTTTGGAAACAGACATCTTGGGACAAATGTGGTACTGTAGGCTAGCTGCTTCCATCTTTAGATGGCTGAAATTGGCTGAGCAGGGAATGCTCTGGGAGGCTGCTGAAGTAATTACAAAGTCTATTACTGCTATTTATTTCTTTGTTTTATGCAGAATAAGGTATCTGACTCTTTCTCATGAATGACCGTGAGATGATCATAGGGCTGGAACACCTCTTCTGTATGGAAACGCTTAGAGAATTTGGRATGTTCAGTCTTGAGAAGGAGGGAGAGCCTTAGGAGTCAGGGCTTAAAAGGGGTCTATGAGAAAGCTAGCAACAATTTTTTTAACATGGCCTGTTGTGACAGGTCAAGGAGTAAGGGCTTTAAACTAAATGTGGATAGATTTAGACTAGATATAAGGAAGGCTTTTTTTTTACTATAAGAATGGTGAAACACAGGCACAGGCTGCCAGAGAGGGGCTGGATGTCCCGTCCTGGGAAATATGCAAAGTCAAGTTGCATTGGGCTCTAAGCATAGTTGAAGATGTCCCTGCTCATTGAAGGGGGTTTGCACTATGTAACCTTTAAAGGTCCCTTCCAACCCAAACTATTCCATGATTTTCATTAGGAACTTCCTCAAGCATCCATTCCTCTCCAACTGGAATGATCTCTGATTGCAGCTTAGTGCTTCAAAAAGTCTCACATATCACTTTTGCCATCACCAAGGATATGTGTTCCAGTTATTCTGAGGCAATCGAGGTCTCAGAGAGTTTATKACATCACCCAGCAACGTGTGTGTATTTAGCTGCCAACTTTTGTATGTATGGGGGGACATCCATCAGTTTGGCATGCAAGGTAGTTTAAAAATGCATCGGAAAAAATTAAAATATCTTTGGGATTTCAATAATTCCATACAATCTCTCCTTGTATCTTGGAGTATTTTTCCTTGGTTAAGGGCACTAGACTTAGAGAGAGAGCAAAGGGAGTACCAGTTACCCATGTGCAATGTTTTACCCTCTGTACATGTTTCTGGTTGCCCAGAGCAATCACGTCCTGTGTAGCATATGGCTCCCAGATTAGAAAAAAGTTCTTTGCCATGATTCACAATCTTCCTCAGTTACTAATTTGCCATATTGTGAGCAAATGCRGAACTGTACCCTTTTATTACACATAAAATTAATTGTAATAAAGTATTATATGCTCCTAGTACACCTTTCTAAGGATTCTCTTCTGAGGATATATAATGGCCAGCTCTCACACTGAGGTTCACCTGGTTTGTTTTGTCATTCCCAAGGGAGGACATCATACCAGGGAGAAATTTAATTCTTGAAGAGAAGGTGCCTTGCTCTGGGCACTTCCAGCAATGGAAAATGCAATACTGTCTTCAACAATAGCTGGCCTAAGATCTAAGTTAATGAGAGACAAGGTAATCCCCCAGAAGCATGTGAAAGGATGGCATCATACCAGGTGAGGAGTTGCTTCAAAACCTCTGTAATCTAAGGACCTGCTCTTAGAATAGACATGTAAGAACAAGCCCACCAAATCACATTTTGCTGAAGAGCAACTCATGGTTAAAAATAAGTGTGTTTTCCCTGCATAAGTCCAAAGAGCTTATGACCAGAAATAATGCTCTTATCTTAGCAGCACTGTATGGAGTTAGAGGACAAGACAAGGACACTGCCAGTTGGAAGACAGATAGAACTGCTTTACCTCAAGTGGCTGTGGCATATCAGGCAGGTCACAAAGTCAACATGCAAAGTATAATGCAACACGAGTTTATGCTAGTCAGCAATCTCACAGGAAGGGTTTGAGTTCTATTTCCAGTTGCAAATTATGACAGATGCAATTTCTCCAGTAAGTGTCCCCACAAAGAACAAGTCTGCCTTGCTACTACCTCTGCTACCGCTAAAGCAGACAAATTGTTTGATAAAGCATTTGAGGCTAATTGCCTCAGCAGGAAAAACTTTAGAGAGACTAAGGGATAACAATTAAACATCAWTTTTTCAGGCWGCYACAGACTTTTCTTTCTGAGGAGGCMAAGTGGGTTAACCACAGGATAGTTGAAGATAGTCGGAACTAAGTCCTCTGYTCACAGAAGGCTGGAGGGGCAGCAAGTGGCACACCTAYRTGGTACTTTACAAATGGTGTAGAGCCCAGCTGGCAAATCCTGCCAAGAAACGGGGAATGTTAGCTTGCTCTCAGCATCACAGTAATGGAGCTGTCTGGTTTACAAACATCTTGAAGAGGAAGCAGAACCAACTCTTTTCTGATGGCAAAGACTATATGAGCATCTCTAAAACTGCCTCCTGAACTGAACCAGTTACAATTTGCTCAGGCATAACTTGGTCACCACACTTTCCCTCATGACCATATTTTCCTACCTCTGCTTTGTGTTGCCTGGCTGTCATCTCCAAGATCATCTTCTCCTCCATAGGTGCGAATGGGGGATCGGGCATAGGAATGCTTTTGGATAAGGCTCTCCACACTTTCTCTGTAAAGGGAAACAATCTCATATATCAATACCATCCTAAACAGCATCCAAATTCATCAAGGTGAATRTAATGCCTTTTTTCTGTACAGATAACAGCTTTCACATACAGACTCTCCAAAATCACTTAACAAAAGACTTACCTCATAGCATGGCATTGGAAATGCYGGATTTGGCCTGTGTTTTTTTAATATTGCTGATCATCTCTTACCAGCTTCTCCAGCAAAGCAGAGTGAACTTCCTACYGTGCTTCCTGGATGTGGTCTCAGTGAATATAAGACCAGCACTCTTCATTAATTTGAAAATGCAAACTCTGCAGTTATTTGTGCTGAGTGATGAGTCTGGGTTCAAAGAGACACCTGTGGCCCAGCTCCTTTCAGACAAGCTTTTGCATTGCACATGACCACCTCATTTGCTGCTCTCCCGTTTTGCTGAAATCAGGGGCAAAGATAGGTGTGTCCAGAGACAGCTCAGCTCTGGCCATGCTCTCTCAGCATCGGAGTGGAGGGCAGTTTGTAGGAGGAAGTCTCCAGATACTACTGATCTTGTGCCACATCTATTCTGGGAGGTCAGATGTGTCTGCCAGGCCCCTGCCTCGCTGGTAGCACAAAGCACTGAAGTCACACAGACCATTTTTAAATAGAAGGAAGCCATATCTGCATGATAAGCCTTAGCAGTTTGTAAGGAAGCTCCAACCTTACACATTCCCAGCACATTTCCATGTAAGTAGGTGGCATTATACCAAAGATGAAAATTACCTAGGCACATTTCCAAAATGGCTTTGACCTTCTGTTTCTATGTAAGAAATCTAAGCAGTAATAGTTGTTTAAATCTGCTGTTTGATTAAGGTTTTGTCTGAATTTACCATTTGCCCATTCATACTTGCTAATGCCTTTTGCATGGAGAGTGTGTCTGTTACAGAAATTCTAAGGAAAAATATTTTCCAAGTAACATAATAAATCACAATGGCACATGTTTTCCTTTCCTACAGAAAGTCCATTATGGTCATTTTGTCCTTGGTCTATCACTGGCATCATTACTTATGCTAGTCTCCTCAGAAAAAAAATAAAGAGAGGATCTTATCAAAGTGATTTACTTGTGTCAGGATTGGAAGTGGACTGAAAGCAATGGCAGTTCCTACATAGAGGATGATATAATTGGATTACTGCCTTTTAAGTGATTGAAAACAGTAGGCATATCAGGGCTATCTCAAAGAAGATTTTCCAAAGAAAAAGACAGACGGCATTGTTTACATTATGTGCTGAATGCCTCTTGAAACATTAGGCTTTCTTCTGAAGCAGAATGTGAAAYGCAAAGAATTTTACTTGACCAAAAGGACTATTTCATATGAGTACAGCATAACAGAATAACCAATTAGACTGGTGTTGTCTGAGTGATTTAAATACTGGTATATAAACATATCCATAATCAAAGAATTACTATTCTGTAAAGATCTGAAAAATAAATTTGATACAGGTGATTGTCTGTMTTGTCTCTACTGATTTTAATTCTAGTAAGGATCTGCTTATAATGACAGAGATTACAGCATGTAATGATATCCTGATGCAACAGAAACAATGCAGGCTCTAGTTTTAGCGCAGTGGGCCAATTTCACCTCTAAAACTTTGGATCCAATGGCGGCTTGGGGATAAACTCACCCCAATAAATTTACATTTGGATTACCTACAGGGATTTAAAGCTAAATCAAATACCCACAATTATTGCAGACTAAATTCTTTCCAGATGGGTTTGTATGCTAGACAGAGAACTCTATTATTCTATATGGTTGTCTTCTTTTAAAGGAAAAAGAGAGATGACTTCTTAGTGAACCCTGAATCTGCAATGTTTGAAACCAGGGAACTATGTGGTAGGTTTATGTATTTATTTATTTTATGATGTAGTGTTGCAGAGAGTATGCAAAGGGTTTTGGAAGATTAATCTCATTCACCAGCATAAGAGGCAAAGGTTTTGATGGCAGAGGGAATGGTCTAATGTGGAAACTTGGATCAGGGAAAGCAACTAATCTCACAGAARCAATTCCTTCTGCGCGGCTGAGATTTAATATTCAAAACTGCACGTGCTTGTCTTGCCTAATGATGTTGGTTGTTTATGCAGCAATCACACCACACCTACTGATTTTTTCATTTTGGAGGTTGAGGCTGTGATTCACATCGTGAGTGCAAAGTGCTCAGATTCACACCAGAATTCAGGCACTGCCCCGAGAATCTTCAGGTGGATCCTCTTCTGTCCACATGCAACAMATGCTGCATATAAAGCTCCAAACAGACTGACAAAGTGAAAAGGCTGAGCACACCTAAGTGTGCAAAAGCAAACAGAGGGGAAAAGAAGTGGTGTATTTTCTCCACTAATAAAGCATATCTCTGAGTTACCCTTTAACCACTGTTTCTTTCACTTAGAAGAACAAGAGTAGACATCTCCACTTTGATTTCTTTCCTTCCCTTTKCTTTTCAAATGAAAGGGTGGTGGCCTCTGCACCATGCTGCAATATTCCATCCTCAGAGAATATCACTTGGAGTCTCCATAGAGAAGACAACAGCTGCAATTTATGTAATCTATGAAAACATTTGGAGTTTCCCACAYAGGTTTGAAAGAGAAGACAAACCTCTCCACCCTTTAAAGACAGAGGTGCCTTAGGACTTACTCCAATGTTGATACATAGGAGGAAGCAAAACTTTAACAAGAATTAAGTGCCTGTGGATGTAGTTCAAAATGCAGGAATGAATCTGGAGCACAAATTCCTTCTTATACCTTTGTTTCTACTGGGTAAAAAAGGACTTAAATCTCAAAATCTTCCTGAACATTCTCTTTATGGAAGTGTGAAGTCTTTTGGTTATCCCAAATCTGATGCTGTGTAGAGTGGAGTAATACAATACATTTTTTCAAGTCCCAAAATATTACAWTAACACTACTAACTAAAAGGGAAAGTTATTATTACTTCTGGCTYTATAGTTCTGTATGCAGCATAAGATATCTCAATGTGGTTCAAAGGATTTATGGAAATAATTTCATAAATTACTGAATGGTAAATCAGTCTTTGCCATTTTATGATCCTATGCTCAATTTCAAAAAATAGCAAGCGAAGAGTATAGCGGAGGTTTTTTTAAATCTGTCTTTGGTATTTTTCAGCACTGCTCCACAGTAAACGGTCTGAAGAACAAAGTGACTTCCACTTACTCCATGCTCAACTTCTGTCTTTCTGTTTCCTTGTTTGTGATAAGAGACTTGTTATCTAATACCAGAACCTAACAATTTTTACTTTTTAGTGTGTTTTASAAATCCACAGTTTCTTCTATTAGAAATAAATTAGCAACAAACTTTGTTCTGAGAGATGTTCACAGGCTGCCAATTGAATAAAGGAAARATGCCTTCTTTCTGTCAAATATTTTTGTGTGGTCTACCAACAAGTTTCAGTCTTCCAGACTGCTCTTCAACTCACAGACATCTTGAAAATAGCCAGAGGAGAGGGAAAAGCATGTACATAAGCACAATATATTACTATGATTAAGYTGTGCAACATGTACAACTGGATAGATAATAGTAGGAGATGACAGGCTGGAGAAGAGCAGGTTAGGGACTGAAGCTGCTTGAGGAAAAGGATCCATGTGCCAAATGGAAAGGAAAAGACTTGGCAARCACACCCACAGAGAAGATGCTGAGGGAGGACAAATGTGAGGAGAGATAATAGGGAAAAGGAGTTCAGGSTGATCCAAATAATCTGCATTCCAACAGAAGCACATTTTGAGCCCAGTCCTGTCAATAAACCTTACTATGACTGAAGCACTTATTTCCTTTTATGCAAGGAATAAACCAGCAAAATTTGAACCTGCTATCAAATGATGTGAAGGGCTGAGAGAATTCATCAATGAGATAGAGTTCGGGGTGCACAGGGAGCAGGTTCTAACCTCTTGATTTGACATTTCACTCTTGCCTCTGCTGGCAACCAATTCCAAAACTAAACCTCCAGCTAGGGATGCTTTATGTCGTGCATCTCCAAGCTGAGTCTTTGGTCTCAGCTTAGTTAATGTGCCCTGCATGTACAGAGTAGCCTCAGAGGACCAAAGGAAGATAAAAAAACCCTGATGTAACTGACAAATGATTCACTAACACTTTGCAGACCAAACCGGAGACCTTGCCAYGGATTTGAACTGGGAGAGAGGGAAGAAAACACAGCTGACTTGGGAAGCAGCTGAAGTCTTGTGTGAGAGTGCTCACTTTCTTTTGCTGTCAACCCAGATCACAGAAATTCTCTCAGGAGATGATGAAGTCCCAGATTACCCTGAGCAGCAACTTTAATCAAGATAAAAGAACAGGGCTTCTTTCTAGGTGGGAGCAGGCATCTCTGCTGTCATTTTTTCTGCACCTTTTGCCATTGCTCTACTTCAGCTGTACATGCACAGCAGCCTGGTGATCACTGAGACTCTGATTCTGAAGTGCATGACCATGAACCCTGATGACATGAAAAAAAGAAGGCTCTCCTGGCCATTGTGCAGTCAACATGGATGCTGCAACATGCACCTGAAACTGTGGATTTTCCTGAATTTGGCAGACAGGAAATGGAGATGGGAAGCCTACACTCTCTCTTTGTGACAAAAAAAAATGTTTAAGACAATATATTTAGCTTTGTTCAAGGTGTCAGAAAAGCTAATTCAGAAGCAGCTTGCTGGAGCCAGGGCTGTGTCAGTGTCCATCTTAGATCGATACCATGGCTACAAATAAGATGGAATCAAAGTCKCAGGCAGCCATCGATTCCAGTGGGAGTCAGGTTTGAGCTTCTTTGAAGAAAATGTGCTAAAGCCATGCTGTTATGAGAGAGAGCAAGTGGCTGAGCCAGGCATTCTGAGCTTGTGCCTTCTCCATAAGTTACTCTTTCAGGAATGGCTACAAGAGGTAAAAAATTCAGAGCAGAGCAGGTGTCTTGGATGCCTCAGCAAATCTTTTTTTTTACCCCTTGCTATTCAGGTGCTGGGTACTCAGACAGGTAA